GAAAGGCAATGAATGGTGTGCATTGGCCACAAGGAATGTGGAAAATATTTTTCAAGTATTGCAGCATTCAGGTCTGGATTTAGGCATGCGCAAGGCGTGCTTAAACACAGGGCCTCGGAGCCAAGGGGGGGGGGGGGGGTGGTTATTGAGCCAAAATAGTTAAAGACAGATATTTTTGCTATCAACGGAATCCAATAAATCACTTGTTACTTTTAAAAGCGCAGTTTCGGTAAAATGTTGAGCTTTATAGGCAGGTTGGTAAATTTCCTCAAAACCATTTTTTTTTTCATGTGAGGCAAAACTTGACTTAAAACAATCTTCTCCATAATTTTTTAGACAAATTGCAAATTCGAAACTGGTCGATAGTTTTTTTATATTCATTTTCATCAAGCCCGGGTTTTTTTCCAATAAAGGTTTTACAATAGCTTGTTTGAAAGTATTTGGTACAGTGCCTGTGGCAAGTGACATATTCACTATTTTAGTAATGTGAGGTAGGACAATATCAATGCAGGTTTTGAGTACATGAGCAGGCATGGGGTCTAGGTCACATGTAATTCTTCTTCATAATACGGAATCGAACCCGCGTCTTCTGTATACAATGTAAAACGCCTTGCCAATCAATACGCCACAGACATGCTCAAGTGATCGAACCTGAATAGGATTTTAAGTTTAATTGAAAGTTTAACTGTAGACACCATTGTGTTTGTTACTAGACATCTTCCTCAGCTAACGGAAGTGGATCCTCCTTTGTTTGGTTTCAGTGATTCCACTGTCAAGAGGCAGGGCCGGTTACTTTTGGCTAGTACTCCAAAATGAAATGAAGTTGTAATCTTCGAATGAAAGACTTACAACCTACTCAGGTTTTATCCTGAAAGATTCAAACTATTGATAAGTATGCCCCAGTATTACTCTTGTCGCTTTAATACTTTGAGTAGAGTTTGACTGTAAGTGCAACGTATCAAGCTCTGGGGTAACTTTTTGTTCACTTTTCGTGTGTCATTCTCTTTTCACATTGCGTTGTTATTATATTTTTACATTGTGCTATTCCAAACTGGGTGATTGGTAAGTGCAGTGGTGGATATTGAAAAAGATGTACATTGCCTTGCGCTGTCTGTGATTGTAAACTATGATAACAATGCGAAGATATTCAATTCTTTTCTTGATGTTGTCTCAAAACTGCGACATTTTAGGAGTGTAAGAAGATTATAGGGTAGTGAGGTTTCAGATGGTGATTTTAGAGTTTCTTTAGAAAATTGGCTTTTTGTGTACAATAGGCGTATCAGCAACCTGTAAGAATATTTTTTTCAAATTATGAGATATTTTCCTTATTACTACGTTCCAAGTGCTTCAGAGTGAGTGATTCTGTAGGAAACGTCAGTGTTTTAGCGAGTCATATATTGAAACCTGGGATAGTTCGTTTATTATAAACGATATAAAACAACCCCCTTACAGGATGCAGCCACCTATACTGAGTTAAGTTTGTAAAACGCGAAAATATGTACTTTTATAAATAACAAAATCACGCTTGCACTATAATAATATAAGGGGTTTTCATACCTAAAGTGTAAAACTTTTTCCTGAACGCAGACTTAAAGAACATTTGATTACCTGAATAACGTACAAGAGCCCACAGTCAGTGTTCCCTGAAAGGCACTAGATAGAAAACGGAAAGTTCACAATTATTTATATATTTACAAGATACAGACCCGGGCCGTTCTACGAACTGTGATATAATGATAGGAAATCCCAAGATAAAATATTTGTACCTGATTCATTACTGTAAGACCTCTGTGTAGACAACATTGTTGGCATATATAATGCGCCATCTGTATCGTCACTTTCCGCCTTCACTTTCAAATAGGTTTCGATAGATCTAAAAACATCCGGGTCGTCGGCATGTTAAACATGGATTTCATAGCGAATCCAACGTAGGTCAATCAAAAACAAAACTTCCGGTCCCATTATGGCGGAAATGCAGGTTTCGACGGCAAAGTGATAATTTTTTCAGAAACTCATTTAATTACATAGCGCTTATCAAACTTCTAAAATAGTCCCACGCGGAACAATTAGCTAACGTTTGTGTAATGTGTATTTTTCCAAAACGATTGGTATTGTCACAAAAAAGCCTTTGTGAGCAGAACATAAATTTGGCCCCACGGTTTAATATAGTATGATGACAACAATAACAACAACAGCAACAACAACAACAACAACAACAACAACAACAAAAACATCGACCAGTAATTGAAAAAGCAAATAAATAGAGCAGCAATGTTGATAACAACAGAAATTACCGTCGTCTACAACAAAGAAAGCTTGCAGAGAATTACATTTACCTCTTTCTCCTCTTTTCTTCGTTCAGGCCAAGACCATTGACGTATACAGACAACTTCAACTATGGGACTGATGTCCTTGATAAACCGTCGGGCTCCGTTGTTAAGCATTGTGAGCATTTCCTTTGTTGCGCTGGTCCTCATCTACAACTACAACGCCAATAAAGACAACATTCTCTCGGCCTCACCCTGCACCACACAGAACAGGCAACACACGAGAAACACTGCTCAACTAATTTCGGAAAACCCATTCCTCAACGCGAGAGTTCCCTCTGAGAAACCAGGAAGCGCCAGTATTTCCTTATCGACATCGTCAAGAAAGACATATGCCCACATAATACAAGAAACTCCGCCTAACGCAGGACCTGAACAGGGGTTTGATCTGGAGTACTTAGATCAAGAAGTCCAGAAAGCGATGGAGACCAAAAAGGCTGCAATACGTTTTTTAAGCTCTCCTATCATAAACCAACATAACTTGATGTATTTGGTCGGACGCGAGCAGAAATGTACGAACATGACTCCCGAAGTTATCATAACGGTTCCGTCTGCGTGGAGCAATTTTGAAAAAAGGCAAAAGGTGAGAGATGGCACGCAAGGAAAATACGTCAGAGCACATTCTCAGAACGCGCTTTTGCTCTTCTTTGTAGGACTTCCTCCAGCGGGCATTGGAAAGAATAAAACACAAAAGTGGGCCAAACTTCAGGAGGAGAGTGAGAAATACGCTGATGTGGTCATTGCATATTTTGAGGACAAGTATAGAAATATTTTGTTTAAGCATTTGTCCATGCTTCAATGGGTGATCAACTTTTGCCCCAAGGCCAAATTTGTGCTCAGAACCGATGATGACGTGGGCGTTATGATAGACTCTATGTTGGTTTCCCTGAGGCGACATAGCGATGAGTGGCAAAATTTCATTCTTGGAAAGCAACGAGTAGGCGATGCTCCGTCTCGGAGAGAGGATCAACCTCGTTATTATCTCTCCAAAGAAGAGTATGAACCCGATATATTCCCGCCCTTCGTGCTGGGAGGAACAATAGGCTACCCCGTGTCCACTGTCAAGCTGCTGTACGAGGCAGCCAGAAGGACGAAGAGCGTGTGGTTAGATGATGTTTTCATTACTGGGATCTGCGCCACCGCAATGGGTATTCCCACGTTTAACGAGAGGAGCTTTCAATTCGCACACTAACCCAGGAGTCACGTCAACCTCCGAGTGTTCTGATCATTAATATATTACTTTCTTTTCATGTAGGAGCCCGCGTGAGTACGTGTGTGTGGCGCGCGCGCGCGCGCGTGTGTGTGTATGTGTGTTTGTGTGTGTGTGTGTGTGTGTGTGTGTGT